TCGACTTATTTTTTGGCTTTATTCTTTATTAATTTTTAGTATGATTTTCCCCTCTTCCTTTATCCCCATCTTTTCTTTCTGCATCATTAGATAACCTTTTTCTTTTGTATGGATATGTATTATTCCGTTCCAATTTCTATCTAAATCTTCCAAAGAAAAATCCCAAATAGATAGGGCCTCATCATTTAAAAGGGAACCACAGAAATAATAGAACCCAATATTTTTTTAGCATAAAGGAAAAAGAATGAAAATACACATCAAACTTGGGCCTAGGTGCACCTGAATTGCCTTTTCAAATAGAAAAAATGGTAAAAAATAGAAATTTTTCACAACAGGCATTGTCTAGTGTAAAGTTTCACGACAAAATGATTTTCGTGGTATTCTGAACGAATATAAACAAAACAAACACTATATTAGGTGCATAAGGCGTCTAATGGAAAATTAGTACTATTTCATTTATGTAAGTCACCATGCATGGAATGAGCTTCTAATTCCCTGTGATCATTAATTTTTTTTTGCATGCTGCTATTTTCATTGGCTGACGCATCAAATAGGATTTGCATGCTGTTTCTAGGAATTAATGACATGGGAAACAAGAGAGTGGTTGGCTCTTCCCAATTTACCAAGTGGGCCAAATAAGAGATATTATTGCTATTTTTTGTTTAATACATTTCATTCAATCTTCTTGCACTCAGGTTGCGATGCAGTTCCTTAGACGCCTTGTGCACCTGAATAGAGGGAGTACTTGCGTTTTTGTCTTTTTGCTAACAATACCACATATAAGTTACTTTGTCTCAAAACTTTGCACATGACTAATACACTAGACCATGCTTGTTCGGAACAAGTTTCAATTTTTTTACTTTGTTTACTATTTTGCCTAATTGGATGCGCCTAGACCCAGGTTTCAAAATCTGCACCTGGTTTTTCCCCCAATTCTAGGATTAATCAGTTTGTGCTATTTGATGAGAATATACGAATTAGCGGACTTAGGGTGATTCAGTTTCGGAAAAGGGGATCATGATCCAATGCTTGTCCTCATTGTTAGTGCTAGGCACTTTATTCCTGAGCAATATAAACACATATAATTTAGACAATATCATGTTCTCATGAATATTATAAGTGGTTCTAAGAAGGAAAGTGACTGACAATGCACTTACACGCCTCCATACACATTGGAATATGTCACGGAACATGTGAATGGAGACAAAGCTATGCCTTCATTAGTTGAATGCACCGGAATAAGTATTGCCAAAGTCAGATGGGGGGGGGCACGGGTGGACATAGTGGGGAGCTGATTGAAGATGACACGATATTTTCTCATGGAGGCAATGCATTTTGAATGTGAAGAAGATAATGGTGATCTAGAAGAAAAAAGTCAGATCCATGGTGCTCACTTGGATAGGCGTGGAGCTTAAGCCTCAAGGAGGATATTGTTGTTTGTCGTGAGAATGATTGTGACATCCTGGCTCAGTATGAACGATAGAATACTGGTATAAACAAGGGCACACCTTCTTTTTGGAAAGCTCGTCTTCGAGAAACCTCTAGGTTAAGTGTTCTTAGCTTGGGTAATTTGAGGATGGCTGACCTTGCGGGAGGGTCTTCTCAGTGCACATGAGTGAGGACAAAGTGTGCGGAAAAGACTAGTGTTGGTCTGTGGGCCAATCTAGATCTCACCGGACGTAACAGGGGGGGTGGGGGATTGGTGGCTGTGGCTGGGGCATTACAAATGATATCAGAGCCGACCCTCGCGGTTACAGAGACGCGTGTGAGTCATGGCGTAGGAATTTGACAACCCTCGCGGTTACAGACACGTAGGAATTTGGGGTGTATGTGACATCCTGGATTGATAATAGTGATATACTACTCATATAAACAAGGTGCACCTTCTTTTCTAAAAGCTCATCTCCAAAGAATCTCTAGGTTAACCGTTTTGGCCTGGGGAAATTGAGGATAGGTGACCGACCGGAAGGTTCTTCCCGGATATGCACGAACCAAGATAAAATGAACATCAAAGACTAGTGTTGGTATGTGAGGCCAATCTAGATCCCACCAGGCGGATTGGGAACCACTGGTTGTGATGGGGCGTTACAAGCATCAAGGTTGAACTTGGTAATAAGAGCAAGGGTGTCATAATCTTTCGATGAGAAGCGGTGCTTGATTTGGTGGAGGTGGACTTTGATGATCCGACTACAAGTGTGCGACAACGTTGTGCCTTAACAATCGCTAAACCAATGTCGAGAGGTTATTAACCATGTCGAGGCACGATCAACTTGACCACAATGGCAAAATGCTGCAATCAATCAATGAAAAAGTAAGAACTGTGATATGCAATATTGATATTGCGAATAATATGAAGTACATATGGAAGCTAGGGCTTTCTAAGCGGTCTTGGTCTGGTCGTTGGGCGCAAACTTAATACACAAAGTTGTAGATATGACTAACTTTTAATTAAATAAATCCTCATTACAAATGATGCCCTAGGTGTGGTGTTTATAAGGGAGAGATAGGAATTCCGACACCCATGGGAGGGGGGGGGGTGTAAACCACCCTAACTCAGATTCCTTCACTAATAGACACTCTAAAAACTGCCTACAGACTGGTAATATCAAAACTACATGAGCCATGTCCAAAAGTGGCATGGCACAAACCTATAGAAAGTTATGGATGAAAAATATGAAGTGACATCTTGTATATTTTGTCTAGATCTTTGTATGTCCTTATTGTGTATTTCAAGTCTTGAAATCTCCAGTTAAACTCCATTGTTGTTCCCTGGCCGCCCGCCTTCATCTCCCTGCTTCGAATCTAGGCTCTTATATCTTCGACTTATTTTTTGGCTTTATTCTTTATTAATTTTTAGTATGATTTTCCCCTCTTCCTTTATCCCCATCTTTTCTTTCTGCATCATTAGATAACCTTTTTCTTTTGTATGGATATGTATTATTCCGTTCCAATTTCTATCTAAATCTTCCAAAGAAAAATCCCAAATAGATAGGGCCTCATCATTTAAAAGGGAACCACAGAAATAATAGAACCCAATATTTTTTTAGCATAAAGGAAAAAGAATGAAAATACACATCAAACTTGGGCCTAGGTGCACCTGAATTGCCTTTTCAAATAGAAAAAAAAGGTAAAAAATAGAAATTTTTCACAACAGGCATTGTCTAGTGTAAAGTTTCACGACAAAATGATTTTCGTGGTATTCTGAACGAATATAAACAAAACAAACACTATATTAGGTGCATAAGGCGTCTAATGGAAAATTAGTACTATTTCATTTATGTAAGTCACCATGCATGGAATGAGCTTCTAATTCCCTGTGATCATTAATTTTTTTTTGCATGCTGCTATTTTCATTGGCTGACGCATCAAATAGGATTTGCATGCTGTTTCTAGGAATTAATGACATGGGAAACAAGAGAGTGGTTGGCTCTTCCCAATTTACCAAGTGGGCCAAATAAGAGATATTATTGCTATTTTTTGTTTAATACATTTCATTCAATCTTCTTGCACTCAGGTTGCGATGCAGTTCCTTAGACGCCTTGTGCACCTGAATAGAGGGAGTACTTGCGTTTTTGTCTTTTTGCTAACAATACCACATATAAGTTACTTTGTCTCAAAACTTTGCACATGACTAATACACTAGACCATGCTTGTTCGGAACAAGTTTCAATTTTTTTACTTTGTTTACTATTTTGCCTAATTGGATGCGCCTAGACCCAGGTTTCAAAATCTGCACCTGGTTTTTCCCCCAATTCTAGGATTAATCAGTTTGTGCTATTTGATGAGAATATACGAATTAGCGGACTTAGGGTGATTCAGTTTCGGAAAAGGGGATCATGATCCAATGCTTGTCCTCATTGTTAGTGCTAGGCACTTTATTCCTGAGCAATATAAACACATATAATTTAGACAATATCATGTTCTCATGAATATTATAAGTGGTTCTAAGAAGGAAAGTGACTGATAATCTTATATATCTAAGAGAGTGATCCCGCAAACTTATTTATCTCAACATGCAAGCAAGTCACATCATCACAATTATGGATGGGATAAGACCCACCTCAACATGCAATCATGCATGGGCAAAGACCACCACCACATGCAACCATGGATGAAAATATGTTTTTTATTCTATTACCCTACTTATATCCAATAATTAGTTTACAACGGTACACAATTGAATATAATAAGCCCTATGTATTTTTAATTTTGGTTCACGTGTTATTAATATAAATATTTGTATTTCACACAATAAAAATCTCATTGAAATATATTGCAACCAATTCACGCAGTAAAGCGTGGGCATCATCTAGTTTAACTAGTGCGCGAGTTCTAGTGATTGGTCAAAGTTGATCATGCGTAACAACAGAGGCGGTGAGTGTAAGTAACAATGGTAGGGATGTCCTCCACACTTGGTTTGGCCAGAATTGAAAAGTTCAATAATTAATGTCTATGTATATTATTGCACTCCCATCTATCCATATTACTTATCGCCCAAACGGATATATCTGATACATCTGTTTAAGCCACAAGTAATATTGATGGGAGGAAGTAATAAATTATTCTTTTAGATTTCCTTGAGTGAATTATTCTTTTTAGAATTGAATTTTACTTAACCTTTTTTTAGGGGAATTGAATTTTATTTAACGAATTATTTTCTGGAAAAATGCTCGGACGGCCCAATAAGCCCAGCTTCAGCCGCTTGTCGGGCCGCCCTCCCCGACCGACCCCAAAAATGCTCGGACGGCCCAAACACGAGAGAATCGCAAGGTTTCGGGCCCAGGGAAAGCAGCGCCGCGGGCACGAGAGTCCGCCCTCTCCTGTCCGCCGTCCGGTACCCCCTTCCCCTAAAACCTCACCTAAAACCTAAACCCTCCCCCCCATTCGTCGGCGCCGCCGCTCCCAACCCCACTGCCCGTCGCCTCCTCCACCCGGCCGGCTCCAAACCCGCGAGCTCTTGGCCCACCCCTCCCCCCGCGTCACCCCGGGCGCTCGCCGCCATGGCGCCGCACGGCGACAGGAAGAAGGGGAAGGGCGCGGACCGCCCGGGCAAGCCGGGGCTGGGCCCCAACCGCAAGGAGTTCAAAAACCACCGCAAGGAGGAGGGGGAGAAGGCGGGCGGCGCAGAGGAGCAGGAGCAGGAGCAGGGGCAGCAGCCGGCGCCGCACCCCGCGGCTCTGTTCAACGCCGCCGACGACGGCGATTTCCCCAGAGGTGAGCGACGGCCGCGCGCGCGGCCTGGCCCCGCCCCTTCGCGTTTTGGTTTCGTATATGCTGACGTGGGGTCTCCCTGTTCCGTTCCGCAGGAGGGCGCAGCCTCCTGAGCAGGGACGAGATGGCCGAGGCGCGCACGGAGGCCGAGGTGGAGTTCGAGAAGGAGGAGAGGAGGGGGAAGAAGAAGAGGAAAGCCAACACCTCGTCGGGAATCGACGGCGATGATGACCTGGGGACCCTCTTCGGCGGGGCTACCACTGGGAAGCTCCCACGCTTCGCCAATCGCATCACCTTGAAGGTTTTGAACTCTCTGAAACTGTCCCTCTGTAGGATTTGCTTTGCAACCCTTGTGTTATGCACCAATCAGTGGCTGGTAGGTTGTATGCAGCAATGCCCTTTTATGATTGCGTCCTAGCCTTGCCAATTTCATGGTGTGTCGTGTAACCTGTTCTGCTAGTTTGTTCATCAAGCATCATCAGCTCCAGACTGCGAATTAGCTTTGAGCCTTTGACCCCACATCTGGTATATGCCTAACACAACCTTTAGGAATTTGACACAGCATGCCACAGAGCGCTCCCAAAGTATGGCACACAAGTGGTAGTTTCCAGTGACACAAAGTGCATTTTAAAATGTTAAAGGTGCCTCAACCCCATTAAGTTGATTTTTACCTGGTATGTTAACTTGGTACATTTATGACAGCATAAGACCTTATTCAATGTAAGATGCTTAGTAGAGGTGCTTAGAAAAATAAACCATTTCTTCTTCAAGCACCGGTTTCGTTGTAGAGGGTAGACACTTAGTTATGCACCTCTCCTGTAGAGATAAGCACTGGTGCTTAGGAAAAACTAGGTTTATTTCACTAAGCATCTTTCTAAGCACCTTGCATTGTACAAGGCCTAAGTTGGCACCTTGGCGGGTGCTCGTGAGGTGTAGCATCAGTTGACTCACCTTCCTCATATGAGAGGAAGCCTTGACGGGTGCTCGTGAGGTGTAGCATCAGTGGACTCACCTTCCCCATAATACAATATATCAAGTGTAAGACGATTAGAAAAAGTGAATTGTGAAATTCTTAATATCAGAATAACCTGAACAAATGCCTTTGCTTAGATGTGGCTTCCCTTGTGATAGTCAATTACAAGGACCAATTTGAGTCAGTGAATTGAGCAAAACTCAGGTAGAGTTTTCATTAGCACAATGTCTCTTTTAATTGTCAGCTATGTTTTTTTATCTGTCTACATTAACAGAAATTACTGATTAGATTTGGGATGTTTTTTCCATTGGTGAGACTCTTGGATTAATTGCTGCCGTTTTGGTGAAACGGCCATACCAACCTTTCTTTTTTCTGTTTTATCAGAATATTTCACCAAGCATGAAGCTTTGGGGTGTTGTAATCGAAGTTAACCAAAAAGACATTATAGTGAGTCTACCTGGCGGAATGAGAGGGTTTGTTCGCACAGAGGAAGTTTCGGACATTGCTTTGCATGGAAATAGCAAGGTATTGATTTTTTTGGTATCTTTTTGTTTCCAAGGTTTCTGCAATCTATATTTTGCCACTAATAATGAAAATTTAGTTGTGTTCTCGAAGTTGCTATCCAGAAAATGCAATTGATGTTGATATTGATTTTTGTTATTCTGTTAATCTGTTTGACTGCAGGATAGTGAGGGCAGTGTATGTGCTGAAGTTGTTCATGTTGGTCAGCTTGTACCTTGCATGGTTCTGCAAGTTGATGATGATAAGAAAGAAGGAAAAGCACACAAACGGGTTTGGTTATCATTGCGGTTGAGCCGGATGTACAAGGGTCTTTCTCTGGATGCTATCCAGGACGGAATGGTATTTATATTTGCCTTGGCTCTTGTTGGTTCTAGATATGCATGATACCAGCTTAACTCCTGCTAGGACAGTGAAATGTGTGCATTTTCCTTATCCTTATCCAACTTAGTTCTTGATATGCACAATGTCATAGCCCACAACCGTAGTCTCTGACTGCAGATGTTCAATTCTAGCATAATGTGTAATTGCTCAGAACTTTGTACCCATGCAAAGATTCACACGCATAAAACAATTATAGCCCAACAGAACTGAAACATGCCAGAGCATACATCCAAGCATGTTCTCGTCCAGCCCTCCCAACAGTCAAAATAGAAAGAAGACGTGAACATCCAATGAGAACTACTGATGCTATCATGGAAAACTCACTGCTCTTGTTTAATTTTCTTTAGGTAGTCAACATTTTGGTCAAACAATGGCAACTTAATGTCACCCTTCGCTCCCACTATCCATCACCCTTTCTATCCTTTCAGTAAAGTAAATGTGGTGGACCTGTTTATAAATTTTGTCTATGAATGAAGGGGTGTTTCGCTGATAGCCAAGATTGGAATTTTGTGTATAAATGAAGGGCTGTTTCGCTTATAGCCAAGATTGGCCCCTACTGTTGCTTGAAAGTTTAGTCAGGGCATGAGCTTTTGACTGGTCAGCCACAAGGGTGAGAAATCCAGGCTCAGCACGTGGTGGCAAACTGGCAATCAACTTGCACAAAGGGTTGATTTTTTAAGAATGAGGTTGCCTCCCTAACTGGGCCGTTGTAATGGCAGCAAACAAAGCATCCTTGCAACTGCTTATAGAAAAAGAAAAACTTAATGGAAGTATGGTTGGTAATTATTATTAAATTATTTCTGCTCACCCAGATCAACAGTCAGCTCATCGGTGGTCTTTTATGTACGCACTTAAATGGCTTCTGTTCATTTGTTGATAGTTCTATTAAGGTGCTATTGCACACCCAGTAACATGTACGGTGTCCATAGTCTGCTCAATCGGCTGTCCCACCTACACTTCTCTTATACCTCTGACAAACTTCAATGTGTTAGATTCTGAGCCAACTCTTTTATAATGTTTCTCAGGTGCTCACTGCTCAAGTGAAAAGCGTCGAGGACCATGGTTACATTCTTTATTTCGGAGTATCCGCATTTAGTGGATTTATGCCAAAAGCTGGCAAAGGTAGACATTGCTTAATAAGGTCACAGTTACAGTTATAGATTGTTAATAAATTACACATGCCTAGATAAGTGTGCACTTCATGCCAATTATTGTTCTACATTAGCTGCTTCAGATAGCTGCTAGAACAATGTTTTTGTTTACAGGCTTATGGCAATATAATTATTTAGTGCTGATAATATCAATAGTCCAATTTCTAGCAAATGCGTTTTCTGAGAAAAAAAACGCTATCAGGCTGCACCTTTTTTTGTTATTTGGTGTACTTATAGGTACATTTTTATTAACACAGACGTATCCTTTTGTTGTTTTAAACTATTAATAAATGCAGTACCTACACTGTATGCAAGGCATAGTGTACAAAATATAGTTAAACAGGAGTAAATTTGTAAACTTTGCTCGTGCCTAGACTCCTGATTTGGCATATTTGATTATAAGTGTATTTTTCTAATAAATTACTGAACTCAAGGCACGCAGCACAGTAAGACAAAGCTTGCCGGGCTGTCTGCTGGCTTACTACTTGACATTATTTGGAATAGTGTTACTGATGTACTCCCTCCGTTCCTAAATATAAGATGTTTTAGCTTTTCTCTATTTTCTCAGATTCGTATGCATCTAGATGCGTTTTAGTGTGTATATTCACCCATTTTTATCCGTATGTAGTCCATATTGCAATATCTAAAACATCTTATAATTAGAAACGGAGGGAGTATGTGTCTGCTGTATTCTTCAAACGATTCTCTTTGACCTTCCCCAGCATTGTAAAATGCTGATCATGATGTTTGTTTTGGGATTACCTATGATCTAATCAACTGGTATTCTTTTGTAGAAACTGTGAAGATTGAGAGCGGACAACTCATACAATGTGTCGTGAAGGGGATTGATAAAACTCGCTCTATTATTCACTTGAGTTCTGATGAAGACTTGATCTCTAAATCCATTGTACGCTTATCAATTATTAGTCAGTGGCTTTTGAGTTTATTCTGTATCATGTCAGTTATCGCTAATTTATAAGTCTGTTTTTATCTAGATTAAAGATCTGAAAGGCCTTTCCATTGATCATCTAATTCCTGGCATGATGATGAGTGCACGTGTTCATTCAGTCCTTGAAAATGGAGTTATGCTATCATTTCTTACTTACTTCACTGGAACGGTAACTTTTTTTCAACACTAAAGTATTTTCTTTTTTAACTTTCCCATGGTTTTGATTTTACTTATTTAATTACAATTTTCCTTATCAGGCTGATATTTTTAATTTGTTGAGCTCCTTCCCTTCTGGTAATTGGAAAGATGATTACAGCAAGAATAAGAAGGTCAGTAATTCTTCCCTATAGATTTGATAATGGTCATGGGCTTCTGGCCACGGAGTCTATAATATTTGCATTGATCAGTCCTAATAATGAGTCTGCACAATGCTTGTACCTATTTTACGTTCATTGACACTTACTGTGAATTCTCTTTTTATCATCTGTGCGCAGGGTTTTGGGTACTTCAACTGTACCCAAAATTGTAGGGTGGTCGGTTATGATTCCTGGCCAAAAATGTTATTTTTTTCTTGACATTTTTCTTATTTCAGACTTCCGTTTCCTCAGATTGTAAGCTTGGGATAGCAATAATAACAATAACAATAATCCGAGAAACTTTGTTTGGTTACTCACTCCTTTACCTCTTAGGCTGCTCATCGGTCTGCGTGGTTCTAGTAAGACAAGAACATACATGAATGTGTCCTGTTCCTGTATTCTGTCTCATGTGTTAGAGAATATGCTCCCTCCAAACCGGTTTACATGCCCCCACTTATTTTGAGTGTAACTTTGACCGATTTATAACCAACAAAATATAATTTACATGCCACAAAAAGTATATCATTTGATTCACATTCAGAAGAAGTTTCCAGTGATTTACTTTTTGTGGCATATGAGTTATATTTTGTTGGTTAAATTGGTGGTCATAGTGAGGCTCAAAAGTCTAGGGGGACTTGTAAACCGGTCTGGAGGTAGCAACAAATAACCCTGTAACGCGGCAAAAGTCAACCGTCACGTATCACAATGAGTCTAATCATCGAATGACAAGTGACCATGTTGTACATGACTTCTGTTATGATAATTTTCTCAACTATGGCGGTACCATTTTCCCCAGAAGATGCAGAACCCCACTTTGCAGGACACGTGGACATGTGAGCATGTCACAAGTTGTCGGTGGTGAACTTAAATGATATGCAACAGTACATACGAATATGACTTGCTACTGTATGTTTAAATGTGTGAAGCACTGGTGGATGTCTTCAAAGTTATCACGAGAAGTGGTGAACTTCATGCATTATTTTTATTTGTCCTCTTAAACCTCCGCATAATTAAGTATTTTATCACGAGAAGTACTTTATCTTTTACTAATTTATCTAGCATATAGTTTGGAAAAAGGGTCAAAGGCATGTGTTGCAGACTTATTCAGCATCCGGAAAGAAAGCCGACAATAAACTGTGGCATCATAGCCACAAAAGATTGGCTGGCTAGCCCACTTGTTGCCATTCTAATTTGGTCTAAATTGAATAGGGCGTTGCTTTCTTTACCACATTTACCTGAAGTGGATTTTTTGCTAGAAGGCACGTGGTCCATGCTTGTCACAATGACAGTTTGCTGCTAATTTAATCGAAAAATTAAATTGTCTTGATCTGCATGATGACCCCTCTTCTCTCTTTTGTGTTTCTGTTTGTCCAGTTTTCAAATGACGGTCCTGTTGTTGAAACATATTGTTGGTTATTTTCTTGGACTGTAGGACTTGTGAGTGATTTTTTCATTACGCTTTGTGCTACAATTTGCAGGTAAATGCCCGCATCTTGTTTGTTGATCCGTCAACAAGAGCAGTTGGGCTTACATTGAACCAACACTTACTTCGTCTTAATGTACCCCCTATTGTAAGTTTACTGCTTTGCCTGACCAATTCTTTTGGTACATTCTTGAATATTTTCATTTATGCCTGCATAGTTGGCTTTAGTCTAGTCTATATTCGAAGAGGGGCTTTCCTTTCCTAGTCTTATTCATTTTTGATTGACGATTTTCCTTATGCAGAATGTTAAAGTTGGAGAAATATATGACAAATCACGGGTGCTGAGGGTGGATAAAAAGGCTGGTCTTTTTCTTGAAATACCTTCTCCAACTCCATCACCTGGATTTGTTAGTGTATGTGTTATTTCAAATATGTTATTGCCTTGGCCTATTCTTGTTTTCAAAAGGGCCAATCTTTTGTTGCTATTTGCTTGCCATAACTGAAGGCTTTATTCATTAAGATCCATCTTAATATTTGTGATCTTTAGATACATGATGTATCAGACAAGGATGTGAAGAATGTGGAGAAGAAGTTTAGGGAAGGCAGCTTGACACGTGTCCGTGTACTTGGAGTGCGACATCTTGAAGGAGTTGCACTAGGCACCCTAAAAGTAATCACATCTGGCCACTTAAGTTTTTATTCTGTGCCTTTGTTTACTTTTGAATATCCATACACTTAGTACTTAACCCATTTTGATGCTCAGTATTCCTTCTTAGTTGATACACCCTGGTCCGTGTTACATCCTACCTTTTTTTATACCAATATGCTCATTCGATGCTTGAACTCTTGTACCATCTTCTTTATTTAGCAATTATGTACTCCCTCCATCCCAAAATAAGTGTCTCAACTTTAATACAACTTTGTACTAAAGTTCGTACAAAGTTGAGACACTTATTTTGGGACGGAGGGAGTATTTATCTAGCAATTATGTTCTGCAAAGGTCGGTTTAAGCTGTACAGTGGAGTTCTTATGGTTATAAAAGATGAGATGGGTACCTGATCCATACCATATGTTAGTGCATGTATTCGAAACTGAGGTTCTGAATGTATCATGGAGGGGGTCATCTGATGATAATTGTTATGTTAGTTTCCGTGGTGCTGCTTAATAGTCCTGGTCACTGTTTACAAGTCACTTCTTTATTTCTTAATTATTAATTATGATAAAATTGTTTGTGATAGTACTGGATTTATAATTAATATGATGGCAAGGTATGCTCATTCTCTTCCATTAAGCATGTGGCTTCTTCTATTCTAGCTCCATTGTTTTGAAATGTGTTAAGTTGGTTCATCTTTATTTTTGACATGGATCTGAAAAATCATTTTGCTTCCAGCTGTTGCATGTGCTTAATTAATATCAAAGCATGCCAGGCAGTCCTTTAAATCAGATTTACCTCCTTTTCTTAAACTAGCAAAAGTGGTTGTTTCTGAGGATCTCCATATCGTATCCTTTTCCAGGACAGTGCTTTTGAAGGTTCTGTTTTCACTCATGCTGATGTCAAACCAGGAATGGTAGTGAGAGCTAAGGTTGTTACCGTTGAGCCTTTTGGCGCAATTGTGCAGTTTTCAAGTGGTGTGAAAGCACTTTGCCCACTTCCTCACATGTCTGAGTTAGATAATATTGTAAAGCCACCAAAGAAATTTAAGGTGCCATTCTGTTCTTTTTCTTCCTCTCTTAAATTCCATTGCATATACCATAAGACTGGTATATATGATTAAGATGCATAACATGTCCACCATTGACACTTCATTTTTTTCTGTTAATTTTGTGTAGGCTGGAGCTGAACTACTTTTTCGTGTCTTGGGTTGCAAATCCAAGAGAATAACAGTGACATACAAGAAGTCTCTGGTACCTTAACTGCACTCTCACCCTTGAAATGTTTAGTATACTGCAAATTGTACTCCCTCCGTCCCAAAATAACTTTGTACTAAACCAGCGACACTTATTTTGGGACTGAGGGAGTATATTATATAGAGCATGATGGAATATTGTTCTTCAGATTGCTTTCTTGCCTCTGTGGGAGCTGAATAATTAAATTCTGGATTTCCTTCAGGTCAAATCAAAACTTGAAGTGTTGGCCTCGTATGCTGATGCCAAGATTGGTCTAGTGACTCATGGATGGATTACTAAAATAGAAAAGCATGGGTGCTTCGTGAGATTTTACAATGGAGTTCAGGGGTTTGTTAGCAGGTTGACCTCTCGTTCTTATGAAATTCATCAGCTATATGTTCTTAACCTGCATATTTTTTTTCCACACTCATGTGATGATACTCCCTCCGGTCCTTTTTACTCTGCATATTAGAATTCTCTGAAGTCAAACTTCACAAAGTTTGACCGTATTTATATGAAAAAATATCAACATCTGCCATGCTAAAGTTATACAATATGAAACTTTAAGTCATGACACATCTATTGATATTGATTTCAGATTGTGAATGTTGGTACTTTTTTCTATAAAGTTGGTCAAACCTTACTAGGCTTGACTTCAGTCAAATCTTGTATGCGAACTAAAAAGGACCGGAGGGAGTATTAATGGTTAAACATGCTCCTTTTGTCTTTGAAGTCTCTGTCTGTTGAGTTTAATGAATTGAAAATCGGATTGACTGTGATTTTCTCTCTGAAAGGAGTACCGCCGGCCACTGCATCGATTGATGCATATAGCCATGAGTGTGATTTATCTTATGCTGTTCTTGATAGCGACATTTTTTTTACTGAATATATGCCTCTGACATATTTCCTTATTTGTACTAGATCTGAGCTTGGACTAGAGCCAGGTATTGAAGCTGAAAGTGTTTATCATGTTGGACAAGTTGTCAAATGTAGAATTGTAAGCGTGGTCCCCACTTCAAGGAAACTATATGTTAGTTTTACAATGTCTTCTAATAGGTGAGTGTTCCCTCTTGTTCTTTTATTGTTTTTTCTGCTCCCTTGCACGTATCAGTTTTTGTTTTACATGGTTACGTGTAACTGGGCCGTCGTTTTTATCCTTGTACATTCTTAAATATTTTAAAGGTCATTATGTGATTATATTTCCTGTCATCTTTCTATTCTTTTTGAAAGTTTTTTTTAAATAGTCCTTTTTTGAAGAGATCGATGTTAGGTCTTTATTTTGTTCTGATAAGGATTTGGCTAACAAAGTAACAATGCAATTAATGTTACGTATAATTGATGTCATTAGATTCATGCTCAAAAGTACTCGTGAATGTGATGATGTATCACATAAACTGTGTTAGTAGAGTAATTGTTGGTCAAAACCTTGTCTTAACAACACTTTAAATGGAGGGAGTACCATAATACCAACGTTTCTGGATGGAGGGAGTAACAAACAACTTCTATTAGATTTGTAGTATGTTTCTTTAGTTTCTGAGAAACTGGCAGTAACACTTCTCATTAAGATGAGGTTAGAATCTGTAAGAACAGTTGCTCAGGCTTATTTTTAGCACATCCAACACAATGTTAGTCCACATGCGAACTTATATCCTCGAAAGCAAGACAGGCCACCTTAGCTTTGTCTATTGCTGATAAAGACCTGTTGATTCCACTCCTTTGACACGTTCCACAGGTGTAGATGACTTGTCCTCTCTGTTTACAGTGCCACATTTTTGTGCAGCAGCCACATGCCATCCCACCATGCATCAACTGGAGTGAACTGAGTATGCGTGGGTGAGCCAGCCACACCAAACCCTGAGTCCACACTTTTTATGAGAGCAAGTTTGATTCACTAAAAAAAGTCGTAGGTGTTCAGCCCGTGTCACAATATCCCATCTTCCAACTCGCACCATTGACCACACTTTCACTCATTGCACAAAAGAAAGACATCTGGCACAGAGGGAAATGGCCAGTTGCTTTTACACTGCTAGCAGCTGTACGAACTGTACTATCAGATACCTCTACATACATTGGTGTTTTTAAACCCATAATATTATATTTAGCACGCCAGGTTATTGCTGAAGCTTTTGCATACATGTGTTTTTTTTGTGTGGTAAAGGGCAGGTGCATTCTTAAACGCTCTGCAACGGTACTAGATCTCTCCTTTTCCTTCTATGGTCATTGCCAATACTTTCAGTTTCTTGTTGGCTTCTGCTGACACCTAGGAACCGAATTTTAACCAGGAAAGGTCCTGAGCAGATCCCTGCTTGGTTCGTAGACCTGTGCCTGTGTTTTTGGCACACAATTTTCCTTTTGTGTTGTGTAGCTTGACAACTAAAATTTTACTTTCTCATGCAGGGTCATTCAGGCTGATACTGCAAAGGTGGGTACTATTGTCTCTGGTGTTGTGGAGCGACTTACTCCTGCAACTGTTGTGGTCAGTGTCAATGGCTTCTCCAAGGGATCTATACTTAATGAACAGTTGGCAGATCATCATGGTATATCCTTGCCTGTGATTTTCAAATATTTGGTTCATTCGGTCTGGACTCACCACACGCACAGACACAGACACGAAGACAGCTTGCACATCCACAATCCTTCTCCCCAGCTCATCTGTACATCTTTGTTCTGTTCACCCATTTACACCTTTTCTTCTTAATTAGGCCAAGCTGCTCAGTTGAAGAATTTGTTGAAGCCTGGCCATGAGTTCAACCAGCTTTTAGTTCTTGGTAAAGTCATTGAAGTTCTGGATCTTTTGTTATTCAACAATTTGTATGAACTAATTGACAATTTTCCACCCGCTGTTCAGTTTCTGGGACTAGTAATCATTGTTTATAGGGCGGTAAGGTGACCTATGGCGAGCACATAAACAATGCTAGTAATATTTGTACTTTTATACGACAAAGAACTTTGAGCTGTAGCATAACTCAGTCTGTATATAGAAATTTTCTCACATAAATTTTTTATTTACATATCCTTCCTGACGCACTTTTGGTTGTTTTACATGTGGATATTACTTCACTTGACTAAGTATTGCCTTTCGTATTATGCTGTTTCAGATACTGAAGGCCAAAATTTAGTTCTTTCCGCTAAGCACTCACTTATCAACACCGCAAATGACATTCCATCAGAGATATCACAGATGCAAGGAGGAGCTGTAGTTCATGTATAGTTCTTCATTTTGTTTCAGTTACATTATAATTAATGAGCAAGTCAATCGACATTTCTTTTTACCTTAGGGTTACATTTGCAACATCATCGAAGCTGGTTGTTTTGTTCGCTTTCTTGGACATCTAACTGGTTTCTCTCCCAAGGATAAAGTAAGCATGTATTACCTCCGCTGCTCTCTTTATCTGGAACAGCCTCTTATCTTGCATGTTTTGGCTTCGTCGTTCTCTCTGTTTCTGAAAAAGCCTAACCTTGTGTTTCCTGAAGGCGGTTGACAGGCCGATAGAAAAGCTTTCTGATGTGTTCTGTGTTGGCCAATCAGTTCGTAGTCATGTCCTCAATGTATGTATAACATAGTGTTGTTGATACTTTCCTGTTTGGATACTATGTTGTTTGCTTTACTGAATGGTTCATTATTTGTTATAGGTGAATGCAGAATCTGCTCGAGTAAAGCTTTCACTCCAACAGTCCATGTGCTCTTCACCTGATTGTTCATTTATTCAAGGATATTTTCTTCTCGATCAGAAGGTCATAATATAAATCTATTTGTGTCTTACTCAAAGTTAAATGGCTTAACCTTGATGAAAAAAAGATTAAACGGCTGAAGGAAAGTCTTGTCTAGAACCATCCGTTCACAAATATAATATGTTTTGGATATTTCAATATAGACTACATTCAGACTGAAATGAGTGAACATCTTATATTTGTGTCTATATATATCCGATTCAGAAAAAGGTTAGAACATCTTATATTTGTGAATGGAGGGAGTAGCTGCTAGCAATGTGGTAATTTGGGCTGGGGTCAATAATAAAAGCTTTCGATGAAAGAAGAGACTGGTGAGGTTTGGGTCGAACTTGCACATGCAACTATTATTTGCTTGTGGAGGCCTGTTTCGCTAAGTTAATGGGCTGTGTGTGTGGTGGTGGTGGTGGTGGGGTAGGACTTATCCAAAAGCAGACAAATGGTTTAAGTACACTGACAATTAAGTGAACCCTAGTTCTACAATGTGCTTTAACATGTGCACTGACAATTGGTGTTACCTTGTTGTTTGTCCAGATTGCGGCATTGAAGTATTCAGGTCCTAGTACTTCTCATGATTGGGTGAAATATTTTGGCATTGGTAGCTTGGTTAAGGGTGAGGTGGGAGCAGTAGAAGAATATGGTGTTATCCTTAACTTCAAAGACCATCCGGATGTTGTTGGTCTAATTGAACATCATCAGCGTAAGTAACTCATTTTCTCCTTATATGGCATATTAACTATTACTGATTACGGTCATTCAAAACTTTTCCTTTTCTGCAGTTGGTGGCAGTACTGTAAAAGTGGGTTCTTCTGTGAAGGGTCTTGTTGTGGATTTATCTGATGGAGTTGTAAATTTATCGCTTAAACCTGAACTAGTTGGCAGTGTCAGCAAGGATGGGAAAAAGAAGGTAATAATAGTAGATGCCCTTCTCTCAGCAATATATGTGTCTATCCGGTTAAGGATGGTCTCTTCCATTATCTTTTGGTCACTTGGTACTAGTAGTTGTTTGTGGGTAGCTTAGTAGTTTACCTCCACTGAAGTACTTCTTGCGATTGTGCCCTTCCTATCTACAGCATTGCTTGAAACTGCTCACACGGCTAAACATTCTATAGCAGTGTAGCTTCATAACTCGAAAAAATACTGTCAACATTTGTGTCTGAAAATCTCTGTTTGCATGTTGTTTGTTTTTAGTTCACCCAATAAAACATATGCATGGCTACTCCCCCTATTTACAAGTCTTCTAATGGTACCAATTTCAATTGCTTTAACACTAACTTTAGTTATATTGGACCGGTTTGTTTGTTGCACTTCAGAAACGTCACAGAGCCGCGGTTTTGGACTTGGAGCTTCGGGAGGAAGTCAATGCAGTTGTGGAGATAGTCAAAGACAGCTATGTGGTGTGCAAATTACTCATCTGACTAGTTTATTCTTATTATTTCCTTAAAGGTTGACTGCTGTTCTTTTCTCATCATTTTGTTCTATCCAGGTTCTTTCTGTCCCTGAGTATAATCATGCAATAGGCTTTGCACCGTTGATGGATTACAACTCACAATTGCTTCCTCAACATCACTATGATAACGGGCAGTGGTAATCACGTGAACTACTTCAGTGTATTGCTTTTATTAGTTACTTCCTCTGTCCCATAATATAAGAACGTTTTTAACACTAGTGTAGTGTAAAAAACGTTCTTATATTATGGGACGGAGGGAGTACTTGTTTGAATGGTCGGGGAGCAAAAGTTGAAGGGTTCATTTTTAGAATTCTAATAACTGCAGATCAGACTTTTTGAGATACAACTGGCAATACTTTATTTTGCCCTTTTGATTACGATTGTACATGTTATAATTTGTCTCTGGTTTTTGGTTCATAGATACATATTACTCTGAACATACTATGCCAGTAAACTGTCCTGTCGCCAGGACATGCAAGGCATCTAGGAGCTTAAATGAGTCAAACGTGAGTCAATCTAGCTTAGGCCGTCTTGAACCTGACATTATTATAGATTGAATAAGCTCTAGCTTAGCTTGACTGAACTTGTCAGTGGGTTGACAATGCAAGTATGCAACCCAACATTGATTATTGCGCTCAAGACAAGTTCGAACCTCACTTGAATTAGACTTGATTTTTCTGCACTACATACTAAATATGTATATATATTCAACCATAATTGACCTCAATCTCTCAATGAAGTCTTCTAGCTCAAGTATTGTATTGCTCAAGCCGAGCTCAAGCAGCTTGTTGACTCCAAGCTTCTTTTGCACGTACACACTTGCCTGGTAGAAATGTTGATGCACTTCATATGCCCACCTTTTCCTTGAATTTATAATGTTTTTGAATATTGTATCTGCATTGTTACCATCCTTGTTGATCTCACATTGTCCCTTTTTTAAAATGGAAACTCAGTCGAATGATTATTAGTCTAGTTCTATATATGCTTTGCAGTCTGGGCTCTCTGATATGGTTTGATAATGTCTCGTGCGGTGAAGCGTTACATTTTCTGTTGTTGCAAGTTCACTTCATTCATGGTAGAAAATGTGTTGAGCCGTAACATCTCATAATATAGGAGCATCTGCCATGTTTGCTGCTGAACAATACAAGTTTAGTGTATTATCTTGAAAGGGTTAGTATAAAGCAACATTTTATATTGCACCGAACACATGCAAATGACTACCAGATGTACCATTTGCGATTTTCAAGGTCGGCAGACTATCGAGCCTATATTACTTTGGTGTTAAAATTTAACAACCTTACCTTCTTTTCTTAGTACAAATGCAGTTACAGTTCGAAGTACTCTTCTCTTATTTTGTGTTTGTTTTTATTGAAGCATTACCGTTGTCGTTGGAAGTATCCCAAGTTCTGACCCTTCTGGAAGACTTATCCTTCTCCCGAAAGGATCAGCCCAGGATTCTAATATCTCTAGTTCTAAAAGGGCTAAGAAGAAATCAGACTACAAAGTTGGGTCACTTGTTGAAGCAGAGGTGCAACTATTTTCATAGCAATCGTATGATCAGTCGTTTACTCTCTATTTATAGTTTGCGTATAAATATTAATCATGTTTGGTTGCAGATTATTGATATCAAGCCGCTTGAGGTTATTTTGAAATTTGGTGTCAATCTTCATGGAAGGATTCATATTACTGAGGTATATACTAGATTTTATTAGTTTATTTATAGTGATTTTTGTAAGTAATTATGGATCAGTAATAGGCATATGTTTCTCTCAGGTCCTTGAAGAAGATTGCAGCGAGCATCCCTTTAGTAAACTCAAAATCGGGCAAAAGGTCCATGCAAGAATTGTTGCACAAGCTGAACATTCAGCAAAAACTGGCAGAAATTTGAAATGGGAACTATCTATTAAGCCATCCTTGCTTAAAGGTAGGCTGTACCAAAATCTCTCTGTTTGTCCATTTCATATATGTGTAACGCCTTTTAGCCTAACCATCACTATATACTCTTGGTGCTTCTTGTGACTTGCGATGACTTGGTTTCCTGATGCTGGCCTTTCTTTTTCTGGTTCAATTTAACAGCAGACTTGGAAGAATCAACTACATCTGAAGCTGAATTGAATCACTCAATTAATGACATCATACGTGCTTATGTCGTCAAGGTGGATACAGAGTGGGTCTGGTTAACTGTATCCAGAAAGGTTATGGCTCATTTATTTATTCTCGATAGTTCAGTTGAGCCGAGCGAATTAAAAGAGTTCCAACAGCGTTATAGTGTCGGTCAAGCAGTGAAAGGACGCATTATTGGGGTGAACAGAGAGAAAAGGTTGTTGAGGCTGAAAGCGTTTGATAACCAATGCATGCTCGAGAATATAGATGACACACAAAAAACAGTATCTTCTATTGCTGAACACACGAAGGAAGGAGATATCATTGGTGGACGCATCCAAAGGATTCTACCTGGTGTTGGTGGGCTTGTCATCCAGATTGGACCTCATCTTCATGGAAGAGTTCATTATACTGAAATTGTTGATTCGTGGGTACCTGAACCCCTATCTGGGATCCATGAAGGTCAATTTGTAAAGTGCAAGGTCCTGGCTGTAAGCCGCCAAGCTGAAGGATCTGTCCGGGTTGACCTATCACTTCGTTCAAGAAAACTTGATAATTTGTAAGTCTTGTCGCTTGCAAAGTATTGTTCATAATAAATACAACAATATTTAGTAGCGTTGAATATGCTTCTTTTTGTCAAAAGTCATATGGGTACTCTATAATTTAAATAGACCTTAGATATAAGTTAACACCAGCTAGTGGCAACTGCTTTTTTGGATGTGGGGTTGTGCTGTGATCGTCTTCTCAAACAAAATACCGAGACAGTCAACCACATAAATAGGCCTGTTAGAGGTGAACTTTGTACACAATATTTTTAGTTGTCCAGAAAAATATTATGTCTGTCATTCTGTGACATCTTTGTTTTGTAGGACAACTTGCGCTCCCCGGTTTGAGAAGATCAACGATCTGTGCCCCGGTACAGAGGTTAAGGTATTTTCTATCTTCATACAATTTCGTAATATCAAACTTGGAGGAAGTTCTCTTGAAGCTGTTACAACCGAGCACAAATGCCTTAATTTCTTTTGGTTTTAGACTTTGAAGTATTTAAAAGATTACATTGCATGCTCTTAGCCTCAATTTGTTGGGCTGTGAGCCACTGGGCATCTAAATGAGCAGAAATTGTTGCTGATGGCGTGTAAAAAAGGAAATCAGTTTTTTTACTTTCCCCTTTTCTGGACATTTAAATTGCGACTATGGTGAATTTATGTGATTTTCTTCTAAACATTTAGGGTTATGTGAAGAATGTGAATCCCAAAGGGTGTTTCATCATGCTTTCTCGAATGGTTGAGGCTAGGATTATTTTGTCAAATCTGTCAGATGAGTATGTCGAAAATCCCCAGAAGGATTTCTCAGTTGGAATGCTTGTACAGGGAAGGTTAGATCTCGCCATTGACAAATGCACATATAACTAAAAAAAATTCTCTCCCCGATCTAATGGAAAAATCCCGCAGGGTATTGTCTGCGGAACCACTATCAGGGAAAGTTGAGGTATCACTTAGGAAGAGCACTGGTAGCAAATCGCAGAAGTTGGATGATATTAGCTACAGTGACCTGCATGTTGGGGACATCGTTGATGGTCAAGTTAAACGGGTTGAATCCTATGGATTATTTGTGACAATCAAGAGCAGTGAACTGGTATGCTATTGTCCTTTTGATTCTGCAAGTGTTTATCAGTAATCGGTATGTTAATGTAGATCATTGTTTTGTAGGTGGGCTTGTGTCATGTATCAGAACTTTCTGATGAACCAGTTCTTGATATCAACGCTTGCTACAAAGCTGGTGATATAGTTAAACCTAAAATTTTGAAGGCAAGTTTTATCTATGGTTAGACTGGTCTTTTGTACTGCATGTGTGCTAAATTTCATTTTCATTTTCTTCATACAGATTGACGAGGATCGACACCGAGTATCCCTTGGCCTTAAGGAATCTTACTTTGACTCTGATCTGACTGATGATGAAAATGGCAACGAGAATGATGGTGGAAGGGTTCCCATGGACATCAGCCGTGCCCCTCAGATGTCTGGAGGTTTTAACAGCACTTTAGTTCTTCCTGGGCGTGAACCCAGGGCTTCTGTTCCCCCACTTCAGGTCGCCTTGGACGAATACGAAGTTTCTGACCAAGAGGGTGATCAGAAAGCTCATGAAATTGCTAATGGAAATGAATCAAATGTAAAAAAGAGCGATAGACGGTTAAAGGAGAAGGCGAGAAAACAAAGGTTTCCACACATTTCATTCTTGTACCTTTAACAGTGGCATCCAGACTCTTACACCATTTTCCTCCCCAGGGAAATAGAAATCAGTGCCTTGGAGGAAAGGGCTTTACAGAAAGATATACCACAGACTCCAGATGAATTCGAAAAGTTGGTGAGGAGCTCTCCAAATAGTAGCTTCGTCTGGATAAAGTATATGGCATTTTTGTTAGACTTTGCGGATGTCGAGAAAGCACGTTCAGTAGCTGAAAGGTACGATTGCAGTATAAGGATAATTGTTTCGAAATTCTGTTCTGACTAATTTTTGACAATAGGAATTTACTGTTCTGAAAAAAAATCCATGAAAATTCCCATTCTTATTAGTCTATTATGCAAAGATATCTATGTTTTCTTTGCTGAATATTTGTTTACTTCGAACCTGTTGCATAGATTGTCATCTTAATGCAAGTGTCCCTCATGTTTGCTAGGGCTTTGAGAACAATAAACATTAGAGAGGAGGAGGAGAAACTCAATGTATGGGTAGCATACTTCAACCTTGAAAATGAATACGGGAGTCCACGGGAGGTAAGTTAAAAATGACGCTACGTTATGTTTCTTTCTGCTCCTCCAGTTGATGATACTGATCTGCTGTTGGTATATGCAAGGATGCTGTCAAGAAGATATTCCAAAGAGCCTTGCAGTATTGTGATCCCAAAAAGGTGCACTTGGCTCTTCTTGGAATGTACGAGAGGACTAAACAGAATGAACTGGCAGATGAACTTTTTGATAGAATGACCAAAAGATTCAAAACTTCATGCAAGGTTAGTTTATCACTTTGGTTTTTGTATTTGGAGCATATTTATGACTTTCAAACTTCGTGCAAGGTTAGTTTTTTTTTTTTTTTGTATATGGAGCAACTTTATGACTTGCATGATGCAATTGTAGATCTGGTTGCGCCGCATTCAGTTTTCTCTCACTCAAGGCAAGGATGTTGAATACATCAAATCTGTCGTAAACCGTGCGCTTCTTAGTCTACCACAAAGCAAGCGTATAAAGTTTCTAACGCAGACTGCTATCCTGGAGTTCAAGTGTGGGGTGGCTGAGGAAGGGAGATCCAGATTTGAGCTGATCCTAAGGGAGTATCCGAAAAGAACAGATATTTGGAGCGTTTACCTAGACCAGGTAATATTGCATTAGCAAACCGTCAACCTGTCTGTTATTCTGTCAACTTTACCAGTCTCATTGACAAGCATGATTTCTTTTAGGAAATTCGACTTGGTGACACCGAAATAATACGGGCATTGTTTGATAGGGTGACATGCCTTAGTCTACCTCCAAAAAAGATGAAGGTTTGGCTCATTCTTTGTATATTCTACTCAAAACACGAACATTATCTCTCTTCACTGCTATCTGTCCCTGCCCTGCATAATATCTCTTGCCATTCAGAATTTGATGCCATCGCTTGCTTTATTACCGTTCCCTGCATTGATATAAGTTTTTTGATGCCATGGTCGTCATTTACAGTTCTTGTTCAAGAAATACCTGCGATACGAGAAGGCTCAGGGCGATGAAGAAAGAATCGAGCATGTGAAGCAGAAGGCAATGGAGTACGTTGAGATTTCTAGAGCCTGATTTGCAAAAGACATGCGGAGGCACTGCTCCTGCTCCTGCAATGCGCGGGAGGCGTCTGCTTGCCGGGGATTCATGCAATCGTTTATTGTGACCTGCAGCCTGGGTTTGCTTCTAATGAGACGTCTACATTCTTATTTTTACGCTGAGGTTGTGCAGAGAATGTGCCAGTCAGGGCTGCAGCTTTTATGCAGACTGCAGTCCGCCAATTTTGGTGTTGTTACACTTGTGATGTATGTATTGCTATTAATAGGAAAGATAGATGACTATTCAATTTTGTTTCAAACACCTCACTAACTATTCGAGCTGTTGGGATGTGTTTTGAATTTGTGAACTCATCGTTAGAAATTGTGAGTGGGGACTGAGAATTTTCTTCGCTAGCCTTGGAAGTGCACCATAGTGTCAAATGTTACTACGTTCTGACGTTGAAAGAATGCTGCTCTCTCCGTCTCTTATACATAATAAGTGTCGTGGTTTAAGTTCAAATTCCATAAATGAGTGTGTGGTTTTAGTTCAAATTTGACTATTAATAGTTGTGTACTTAAAAATATAGAGAAACTCTTGTGAACTTTTTCATCGTTTTGGGATTTTCACCATGAGCTAATTCAATTGTTTTCATACTGGTAAAGACTGGCTTGGCTTGGCTAGGGCTCTGGGCCTACTCTTCCGGCGAAGCTTGCCTTGACAGCTTGACGCACTTCTGTTTTTTTACTTTCCATCACCAAAACACTAGCAAATCACAGTTATATAGTATCACAATGGATAATACATATTTTAGTGATCCTTCAGTCCAATATAGTACTGTTCATAATTAACATCTCTTGTCTAATGTTCGATGATACCTTTTGTGATTTATAAGGAAAACGCTGGCCTTCAGCCGGCGGATCCGTCGTCTCGTACGTGCGATGCGTGGCTCACCTTGAATTATCTCTTGAACTTTTGTAGTTGAGCTCTTATTGCAGTTTGCCCACCAAAACTGCTATACGTACGATTCTTTTTAATCGGACACTGCTACGATCAGAGAGCAGATGCTATGGTCCACAAACTGATAATCTGTGATTTGTCTCTAATCGTACTGAGTGTTGGACGAAAATTCATCGTACGTATAGCAAGGTTCTTTGCCCACCACAACAACTTATGTGTTGTAGGATCTGGATCCTTGAGGGTTGTTGCCCGCGCAGCCGAGGCACCCTGCTGCCGCTCCCTATCTTCCTCTCGCTACACTTGTTGCCCCGCTGCATCTAACGGCACTGCCCCTGCGACGTCACCGATGCCGGACCGAAGCTCCATGGAAGCGATCGGGCTCGCCTGTCGCCGGACTCTACCGCCGCGGTCGAGCTGTGCTTGGCTGCCACCGCCTGGATCTGCTTGTCCCCAGCCCTTCTTTGCACCTCACCGTTCGTCCCGTGTCGCCGGCATGTGTGTTGCCGCCGATTACCAGTTCGCCGCCTCTATCTGGGAAAAAGAATACTGCAACATCATCTGTGTTGCAAAAAAATTTCTGCAACAAGAACTATGTTGCGAAAAATTCTGTAACAAGTCCTCTGTTGCAAAAAAAAAATCTTGTTGCAAAATAATTCTGTAACAAGACCTTTGTTGCATTTTTTTTGCAACATCACCTCTGTTGGAAAGGTTTTTACAACACGGCGTATGTTAGAAATGTTTCTGCAACACCACTCTTATTGCAAGAGAGGTGACACACATGGATGAGTAGATCGGACGGCCCCCCGCATCAATCCAACGCCCAACGGCGAATATTTTCTAGTTATCCGTCAGCTGATGCGTAGTGGCCCCTAATTTATAATGCATGTCTAATTAATATGTGTAATTAATTGCTTGACTAATTAATTTCATGCACTAGTGGACGAGGCAGAGATTGGGCAAAAGACAATTGGGATGAATTTTGGGCTGCGCTACACGTCGGCCGGTGGATTAGTTAAAAACATCCGCCGCCTGGCTGGCCGTTGGATGGACGCGCTGCTGGCCGTCCAATGTACCACCCACGTTCCCCACCTCCCTTTTGCAACAAGTGCGGTGTTGCAGAGACAAGGGTCGTGCTACGCGTCTGTCGGTTGAAGTTCGGGAAGGTTCGACCACCTCCCACGCCGTTAGATCTTCCCACGTGAGCGTCACAAATTGCAACAAGCTAGTTGTTACGGTCATCTCTCTACAACAACGACTTTGTTGCAAACCACACTGAAGAGTTATCGTGTGACTTCACGAATTGCAACAAGTTGGTTGTTGCTGAAACAAAGACTTTGTGCGGAGACGTGATGTAACTTTTGCAACAATGGTTTTGTTGCAGAAATTTTTGCAATTGTGGTGATGTTGCAGAAAAAAATGTCTCCACTTTTATGCAACAAAGGCAATGTTGCAGAATTTTTTTTGCCTTCACATTCATGCAACGTAGGTGATGTTGCGGAGCAAGTTTCGCAACATTACAGATGTTGCGGAATTTATTTGCAATGAATAGGGTTGGCCAGGTAGTAGGGACCAAGCACGTGCACCAAGTCTTCATGCGAGTCACGCGCCCTCACGATCCAGTGGACCAATGGGCCGCGATCTGACGGCCGCGCGAGCGACGGATGCAGCGAGAAAGATCGGCAGGTTGATTGAAAGATTTTCCATGTTTTTTTGGTGCATGCGAACGAATGAAACGACTACACGACCCCCTTTAATAATTGTAATATGCAACAATCCAAAAAATAGTCTAACAAGAATTAAAATCCATACATGATTCACACCATTATTGAGTCACAAGTGCAATAAGATATCCCAAGCAACTAGCAAGTGAAGGAATAAAATGTGCACCAACACACACATGCGAATAGCAGTACATAAAACATTGGTATCAAATTCTCAGCCATAAAAAGGACCGGGCCAACAAAACATAAGAGCACACATAAGGGCCCCTTTGATTTGTAGGATTCAAAACGCGAGAATAGGAAAAACATAGGATTAGAATGTCATACTCATCTCAATTCTACAAGATTCTGGATTGTTTGATCACTTCATAGGAAAAATAAATAATTCTTTCTAACATGTTTGAGTGGATGCTAGAAATCCTATGAGAAGTAGTACAAAGAAATCCTTAGATTTTTTTTCTATAAGATCTAATCCTATGAGTCAAACAACCAATGTACGAAAAATTCCTAACGGTTATAATCTTGCAAGATTTCTAACAACATTCTCTAAATCAGAGGAGCTATAAGAGAAGTTTTTTATTATTAAAACTGGACACTTCACTATGAAAGAACAATAATGTGCAACTCGCCCTGCCTTAACAAGGCGAATGACTAACAACATGGTCCCAACACAAAGGATCATATATACTCCTTGCATCTGAGCATCAATTTGTACCAACTCATGTGCTACACAATCTGGAGAGCGCCTGCATGCTTTTTTTACACAGGAGGAAAACACATATAACATTTTTTTTTGAGAAATCACCACTTTATTCAAAAATGTATAGTGAGGTAATGGAGGAGGCGCTCGCGCACAATCGTGTTCGCCAGGGAGGGCTCCTCCTCCTCCACGGCCTTGCCGTGCCAGTTGTGGCGTGACGGTGACACCGACCGGTCGTAAGTGCTGCGGAGCAGGGAAGGAGGCTCCTCTTTGATGCGGCGTCCGATTTAGA